CTCGGCGACCCCCCCAGACCCCCCAGACCCCATCACCTACGTGCCAGCACGCCGCTGGTGGCGCAGTCCACGCCGCCCTGCAGGCTCCAGCCCGTGGCCGCCCCCGGCACCGCCGGCACCCCCGGCACCGCCGCCGCCCTGGGCGCCTCCTCCTTCCCCTCGCAGTGGCTGTCGGCCTCGGGCTCCCCTCCGGGGGGGTCCCCCGAGCCCGTCCCCTCGCCCCCCGCCGCCTGCGGGGGTCCCCCGGCCCCCTCCTCGGGCAGGAAGGACACGTCGGGGGTCTTGCAGCTGCTGTCCACCGTCTGCGAGTCCGGCGTCAGCTCCCGCTCGGCCGCCGCCGCCGCCGCCACCGGCGCGGCTTTGGGGGCGGCGGCGGCCGGGCAGAGCGGGCTGGGGGGTTTCGGGGTGCTGCCCCCCGTGGATTTTTCCGAGCCCGACCAGGCCGGGTCGGGTTTGGGGGGCAGGCGGAGTTGGGGGCTGGCGGCGCTTTGGCTGCAGCTGTCGGCTTTGGATTTCTTCAAGGCGGCGCCGCCGTTTTTCGCCTTGGTCTTCCTCTTCTTGCGCGCCTCGCCCTTGGTTTTGAGCTTGACTTTCTTCACGCCCCCCTTGGTTTTGGGGGGTTTGGCCTTGCGGGGTTTGGCGCCCGCCTCGCGGGGCTGCCCGCCGTCGTTTTTGGGGGTCGCTTTTTCCGCCTTCTCCTCGGTTTTCAGGAACGCCGCGCGGCTCTCGGCGTCGCGGGCGAATTTCACCCCGATCCCGGCGCCGCCGCTTCCGGCTCCCTCCTTGGCGGCGCTGCTGGTGCTGGTGGTGGTGGAGCTGACGCCCTCCCGGATCAGCACCGACACCTTGGACTGCAGCTTCACCTTCCTGGGCGCCGCCGGTGCCGCCGGCGTTTTCGGCGCCGCCGCCTCCGCCCCGTCCTTGTGCCCGCCGCCCGCTTTCCCCTTGCGCCCGCTCTTCTCCCGCGCCTTCTCCTTGCTCTTCCCGGCCTCGGCCGCGCCGGGCTCGGCGTAATCCTTGAATTTCTTCTTGTACTTCTCCCTCCCCGCCGGCCTCTCCTCGGCGCGGCTCCGCTTCCTCTCCTTCTCCTTCTTGCCGGGCTCCGGCGGCGCCGGCCTGGCCTCGGTTTTGCGGGCGGGGAACTCGGCGTGCTCGCGGTCGGAGAAGCCCTCGAAGCTCAGCCCCTCGGAGTCGTAGAGCACCTCGCGCTTGGGCTCGGGCGTGCCGGCGCGCCGGCTCACCGTGATGGTCCTTTTGATGGCGAACAAATCCGAGTCGTTCAGCTCCTGCACCGACGGCGGCACCACGGCCCGCGGCTCGCGCCGCCGCGCCGCCTCGCTCTTCTCCGATTTCAACCCCAAAATATCCCATTTCCACCCCAAAATTCCCCATTTCCAGCCCAAAATCCCCATTTCTAGCCTAAATCCCAGAGAGAGCACCCCAAAAAATCACATTTCCACCCCAAAATATCCCATTCCCACCCCAAAATTCCCCATTTCCAGCCCACATTCCCTCCATTTCCACCTGAAATCCCAGAGAAATCACCCCAAAATACCAAATTTCCAGCCTAAATTCCCCATTTCCAACCTAAACCCCCCATTTCCACATTAAATCCCAGAGAGAGCACCCTAAAAAAATCCCATTTCCAGCCTAAATCCCAGAGAAAGCACCCCAAAATGTCCCATTTCCACCCTAAATTCCCCCATTTACAACCTAAATCCCAAATTTCCACCCGAAATTCCAGACAGATCACCCCAAAGTATCCCATTTCCACCCTAAAGTCCCCAAAATCCACCCAAAACATCCCCAAATCCCCCAAAATCCCCCAAAATCCTCCTGAAATCCCCCCCAACCTCCCCCAAAATCCACCCAAACCTTCCCAAAATCCGCTCAATGCCTCCCAAAATCTCCCCAAACCCTCTGAAATCCCAACCAAAATCCACCCAAATCCCCCACTCAAATCCCCCCAAAATCGACCCAAAATCCACTCAAAATTTCCCAAAATCCACCTAAAATCCCCGAAAATCCACTCAAAACCTCCCAAAATCCCCCTAAATCCCACCGAAAATCCACCCGAATTCCCTCAAAATCCACCCAAGGCCTACAAAATCCACCCAAAATCCGCTCACTACCCCCCAAAACCTCATCAAACCCTCTGAAATCCCGACCAAAATCCACCCAAATCCCCCCTCAAATCCCCCCAAAATGCAACCAAAATCCCCCGAAAGTTCCCAAAATCCACTCTGAAGTTCCCAAAATCCACCCAAAACTTCCCAAAATCCCCCAAAAATCTCCCCAAAATCCACACAAATCACCCCAAACCTCTTCAAAATCCCCCC